GGGCCGGTCCCTGCAAGGGCCGGTCCCTGCAAGGGCCGGTCCCTGCAAGGGCCGGTCCCTGCAAGGGCCGGTCCCTGCAAGGGCCGGTCCCTGCAAGGGCCGGTCCCTGCAAGGGCCGGTCCCTGCAAGGGCCGGTCCCTGCAAGGGCCGGTCCCTGCAAGGGCCGGTCCCTGCAAGGGCCGGTCCCTGCAAGGGCCGGTCCCTGCAAGGGCCGGTCCCTGCAAGGGCCGGTCCCTGCAAGGGCCGGTCCCTGCAAGGGCCGGTCCCTGCAAGGGCCGGTCCCTGCAAGGGCCGGTCCCTGCAAGGGCCGGTCCCTGCAAGGGCCGGTCCCTGCAAGGGCCGGTCCCTGCAAGGGCCGGTCCCTGCAAGGGCCGGTCCCTGCAAGGGCCGGTCCCTGCAAGGGCCGGTCCCTGCAAGGGCCGGTCCCTGCAAGGGCCGGTCCCTGCAAGGGCCGGTCCCTGCAAGGGCCGGTCCCTGCAAGGGCCGGTCCCTGCAAGGGCCGGTCCCTGCAAGGGCCGGTCCCTGCAAGGGCCGGTCCCTGCAAGGGCCGGTCCCTGCAAGGGCCGGTCCCTGCAAGGGCCGGTCCCTGCAAGGGCCGGTCCCTGCAAGGGCCGGTCCCTGCAAGGGCCGGTCCCTGCAAGGGCCGGTCCCTGCAAGGGCCGGTCCCTGCAAGGGCCGGTCCCTGCAAGGGCCGGTCCCTGCAAGGGCCGGTCCCTGCAAGGGCCGGTCCCTGCAAGGGCCGGTCCCTGCAAGGGCCGGTCCCTGCAAGGGCCGGTCCCTGCAAGGGCCGGTCCCTGCAAGGGCCGGTCCCTGCAAGGGCCGGTCCCTGCAAGGGCCGGTCCCTGCAAGGGCCGGTCCCTGCAAGGGCCGGTCCCTGCAAGGGCCGGTCCCTGCAAGGGCCGGTCCCTGCAAGGGCCGGTCCCTGCAAGGGCCGGTCCCTGCAAGGGCCGGTCCCTGCAAGGGCCGGTCCCTGCAAGGGCCGGTCCCTGCAAGGGCCGGTCCCTGCAAGGGCCGGTCCCTGCAAGGGCCGGTCCCTGCAAGGGCCGGTCCCTGCAAGGGCCGGTCCCTGCAAGGGCCGGTCCCTGCAAGGGCCGGTCCCTGCAAGGGCCGGTCCCTGCAAGGGCCGGTCCCTGCAAGGGCCGGTCCCTGCAAGGGCCGGTCCCTGCAAGGGCCGGTCCCTGCAAGGGCCGGTCCCTGCAAGGGCCGGTCCCTGCAAGGGCCGGTCCCTGCAAGGGCCGGTCCCTGCAAGGGCCGGTCCCTGCAAGGGCCGGTCCCTGCAAGGGCCGGTCCCTGCAAGGGCCGGTCCCTGCAAGGGCCGGTCCCTGCAAGGGCCGGTCCCTGCAAGGGCCGGTCCCTGCAAGGGCCGGTCCCTGCAAGGGCCGGTCCCTGCAAGGGCCGGTCCCTGCAAGGGCCGGTCCCTGCAAGGGCCGGTCCCTGCAAGGGCCGGGTCCTGGGCTGTTTAAGGAAAACAAATCTCGACGACTTGCAGGAAAGTCATGGTCACGTTAAGAGAATCCGTTGGTTTATGGACCCCAGATCAGTTCACCATAAAAATATCGTTTATATTAAAAATAATAAGGTGTCTAGAAATAGGCAAGTAATACGAATTATCGCTATGTTGAACATTTACTGTAAAATACCAATGCTAATCACACAACACCCTTTTTTTTCCCAGCCAGGACATCACTGCATGTCAGTTCTGCATCGCATGGCTAGAGATAGGTGCACACCTTCTAATCACTTTGATATGTCAGACAGACTGATCAATCATCCTTTGGATTGCTAAGAACCTGTCCGGCTTTACCGGACTCCTCTTCTTGGATCCCTATGAACCCCACATCCATGTCTTAAGAAATTTTATTTACGTTTCACCACCTCAACAGGGATAGGTTTTTAAACTTAGTATCCTGTGGTCCCAGGACATCACCGTTTACTTCAAAATATCAGTTCAGTGGTGATCCAGGGAGTGAACATCCATCCACACAGTGACTTTGACCACTTGCAGTAACGCGGGCTGACTGACAGCCTCTGTAACGTTCCCAAGCGAAGCGTACATTTTTGCCAACTCTTCTTTTCTTTCATTTATATTTCTTGGCGCAGAGCTACAATGGGTTTGCACTTTCTTTTTTTTTTGCTGGTCAGCGTATCTGCTTTGTTTTATGCTCGGTTTCCCGTGGGCTTTCAGCATATGCGACACACACGACAAAATAAAACTGCTGGGGTAGGTTACTTGGCCATCTTCAGCAGTGACAGAGGCTGACCACAGCGCAAGAGACATTCAGGAACAGAACCCCCCCCCCCCCCCCCCACTAACTCCTGTATCACTTGACTCTTCTCAGATTAATTTTGTATCCAACAATTCAACAATCTCCGTACCTTGTGTTGTACAGTCGGTTTGAGCATTTCAGACAGAACTGCTAAAAAACAACTGTATAATACAAAAGGATGATACAAAAGATTGTTGAATTCCAGTAATTGGGAGTTAAAGGACTGCGTTGGATGCAAAACGTTTACCCTCCAGCTGACTTGTTTCAACTCTACACATGGCCTGCACTCGAAATGTTAAACTCACCTCCTCATCCAGATGCTGAAAGACTCGCTCTGTATGGACTTCCACAGTCCTGTTGCGATTTGAAAACAGCGCAAACCTTCCATCAAGGGCATTAATTTGACATCACAAGTGGTATTTTACGAGAAGGAAAACCTATCGCTGGTCATCAATGAATTTTTTTTCAACATTATGAAGTGTTTAACTGATAAACATTTGATTGAAATGTTTATCATTCGAATATTGAATTGTGTCCATACATTTTCCATGTTAGTCCGTATGTGGTACAGTATTAGCAACATTGAATATTTCGGGCAACATTTTACAAGGTTTAGCTTTCAATTCCTCCAATGTATAAATGGTTTGGCCCTGTTTTCTACATTCTAATTATTGAAATTGTCCTGTTTCCCCAATGCTTGCTTTTTGATGTCATTTCTGTTGTTCCATCTCATTTTTATCGTAATCCACCTTCTAGCCTGGAAAATCCACTGACCTGGGAATATTTATGGCTGATTTATTTCACATAAACATTTCCCCCGTCCTGCGTAAGTTATTGTCCTATCTTTGTTACTTGAGGTGAGTTGCTCATATTTGAATGTACGATAAAACGATTGGATGGGAAACAGTTTGGTCTCTGGTGACTGTTTAGGGAACAATAGTTTGATAGAGTAATAGACTGATTGATGGTTTTGTTCTTGTCAGGTTTATGAGGAAAACAAATTGATAAATAAAACACCACGGTTCAGGGTTTAAGGAATACAACGTAACAACCGAACGGCGAAATATCTATAAATTAATAATCCCCATGAAACGATATTCACGTTTAACTCCCCATGTCTCCTTGCTGGTCATCATTCGCTCACAGTGTTTCGTCCACAAATATCTACAGTCAATTCACTTTATAGTCTATTCTGTGAAGCGCTTTGAGACGTCTGGAAGACGTGAAAAGCGCTGTATCAAATACAAGGATTATTATTATCATTATGCCTGCAGTTTAACCATTTAATTGCCTCCAAAGAAGAATGCAAGTGAGTCGATTTTATCGCCCCCGAATTCAGTGCAGCTGATTGAAACCCTGCTGGTGGCCAATCCCCTGGGTTGCTGCTGGGCTCAGAAATTACTTTTGTTCGTTGAAAGGAAACGAAGTGTGTTCGTGTCCAGATCATCGCATGCCCGGGCATTGATGCCTATGTTCTCAATTTATGATGGGTTGTTACCCGGCGAGTAACCTGCCCGTTATCAGGACAGAAGCACTTAGCACTGGGTAACAGAGCCCTCCAGATGCGGGCAGGATGGTTCCCCGTACCCTCGCTGTTGCCCAATGAGGTGACTCACTGGAAGATGAGTGTTGTTTCAGTCGTGATCGTTTATCAATGAGCATCTGCCGGCGAGAAGTGTGTGTCTGAACCACCCACAGCACCAAACCTCTCCGAAACGTAATCCTCTCTTTACAACCTCCACTAGATAGCTTCTGTTTTCTTTGCAAGGTGGGACGAATGCATGGTGGTGGAGTGGGGGGGTGGGGGGTGGGGGGGGTGGGGGGGGTGGTGGTGGAGTGTGGGAGAGAGAGCTGCTAAAATAAAACTAAAAAAAAATGACGGGTAATTGATCTGCTTTGAGGATCTCTGCCAACTCAACATCTTAACCCAGAGAAATATACCAGCCACAGTGTAACAAGTGTAAAGTGACAGCTACATTAAAAAGAAAGTCATATGTGCAAAGTTATACAATATCGTGGAAAATATGGGTGGTTTTTTTGCACATTTTTTGTACAATTTTCAGAATATTTTACTTTAAATTTACAACCGGCGTATTCAGAATAAGACTTTAATTATAATTGGTCTGAAATTGGCTGGTCTGTTTTCTGTGCACATTCCTTAATTTATGAGAGGGTTTTTTCAGACTCATATTCTTCTGATTTCACTCTCTCCTGACACCCGAGATAAAGAGCCCTTTAATGTTTAACTCGTATTTAACATTACACTCAAACTGCATAATACCACACACTGCACAATTCTTATCAAATCGGAATTCGTTCAAACGTATGGTGCTAAATCATAGGTGCAGTGCAGCTACACGATACTAACGGGGGGGGGGGGGGGGAGTATATTTTTATCGAGAAACAATAAGTATAGTATTGAAAAGATGGGATAGGAAGTCATTCCAGCCTTCAGGAATGAGGGGACTCTTGTCAGATTGGGTGCCTGCATCACACTTGGCTGTCACATAAGAAAGCGATCGCGTTTCGCTGTCGCAAGAAGCAACTACATTTCTAAATTAGAATGACTGTAATGACAGCACCCAGGAGGCGCAGTAAGACAAGACTTGGTGGTGGGGGGGTGGGGGGTTGATGCTTTGCGACAGCTAAATGTTGGATTGAATTTCACTGGCTTCTATATATATATATATATGTATGTATATATAGCATGGTGACTTATCATCCAAGTGTTTAAATGCCATCCAGACCCCTCTGCAGCTTTTGATCCACTGTCTCTCTCACACATATACACACATTGACCTACAGACGAGACAACCAGCATCCACAATGATGGAGATGTTTGAAACCAACCCCTATTACTATCACGATCAGCGCTACTTGGACAGCGAGAACGTTGTTTTCCAGCACTTGGATGGGGCCGGGGTGTCTCCCCTGTACCCGGGGAGCGAGGACGGGTTGTCCCCAGTCGGAGACGCCAGCCAAGCCGAGCCGAGCTGTGACAGCGGCGGCGAGGAGCACGTGTACGCCCCGCCTGGCCTGAAGTCCCACTGCCCCGGCCAGTGCCTGATCTGGGCCTGCAAGGCGTGCAAGAGGAAATCGGCCACCACCGACAGGAGGAAGGCGGCCACGCTCAGGGAGAGGAGAAGGCTCAAGAAAATCAACGAGGCTTTCGACGCGTTGAAGCGCAGGACGGTGCCGAACCCCAACCAGAGGCTGCCCAAGGTGGAGATCCTCCGCAGCGCCATCCACTACATAGAGAAGCTGCAGGATCTGCTGCACAGCCTGGATCAGCAGGAGAAGCTGCAGGAGAACGTGGACCCGATCAGCTGCAACGGCTCACACTCGATGGTAAGCGACAGCCGGAGCGCGTCCGTCACCGGCCCGGAGACCCCCATCCTGCCAATTAATTACGTGGTGGAATTTTTTTTTCTTCTTCTTCTCTCTCTCTCTCTCTCTCTCTCTCGCAGACACAGAGAACAAAAAAAGAGAGTAGATCGGTGCTAAAACGTTCTTCTGCCTTTCTTCACCCAGGTAGACGCTTCAGACTGCTGGGGAGCAAACAGCTGCCCCCCCTCTGAGTGGGGGAATCTGTCTGATCATTCCAGTATCATAAATAGGAGTCACAAAGAAGGTAACCACACACATATATATATATTTATATATTCTGTTACTAATGTTGATCGAGGGGTAGAATCTCTCTGTGAGCACAATATCAAAAATCAGCAAATTAGAGTGTTTCCCCCGACGTACATGTAACACGTCTGCGTATACACCTATGTATTTTGTATTACACAGACGCGTTATACGTACTCCGATAACATATTTGCGGTTTGCCGTGAAATGTTGGCGCAATAATATCCCATCTTGAACTAACGTGCCTTGAGATTTCCGAAATAGCTCCGGATTTAGAAGAGATGCGACAGCAATCTTTGAATGTGGTCTGTGTGTGCGTGTGTGTGTGTGTGTGTTTGTCTGTGTGTGTGTGTGTGTGGGGGGGGGGGGGGGGGTGGGGGGAGCATTTCACTGTTACATGTGAGCTGATGAGTGAGGGAGAATGAGACTTCTAACAATGCCATATTATCTTATTCCTTGTTTGGTTGCTTTATTTTAACTAGGAAGCAGTCTAGAATCTGCAGGTACCAGCAGCCTTCGTTACCTGACCTCGATAGTCGACAGCATTTCAACGGAGGAATCCACTACACTCCATACCGAAGACTCAACCATAACCAAGTGATGATTCACTACAAACTATTACCTTTCAAGCGGATTGTTACAGCAATTATGATGACAGTTAGCATCGTATTTACATGTCGAAAAACGCTTTGCTGGGCTGTACCTAAACAAAATGATTTATACTGTGCCCAAATGTACTATATGTTTTTAAAAGTGTTGTTATTGCGAGTTGTTTTTTTTAAAAAAAATCCATTCCCTCAGTAGAAGGAAAAGGCCAAAAGTGTAATATCGATTTAATTGACCAACGCTTAATTATGAACTGAAGTTTTGAATAACATTGGTAACGTGTAAATATGTTTGTACAAATGTTGCTTCGATGTACTTAGTAACAAGTTTCATAATTTTATAAGATGATATATTTTTTTCGTTTTGAACGGTATGCATTCAACATTTATTGTGAAGACTGAATTAAAAGAAAAGTTCTTTATTTGACGTTTTATTGAAAATGACTAGCCCCTTTGGTTTTAATAAAGACATTTAAAGCGAGAGAAAAAGAGAGAAGGGGTACAGTTTAAAAAAACAGTTTAGTTCTGACAGTTTAGTCAGCAGGGAATTGATGATGAAATCCACACTGCACGAAATCCGAAACAGAGTCTCAAAAGTAGATCAAACACATGGCCACAATATTAATTGCTGAAATGGTTCCATGTATCCAGAGTTCGCCTCAAACTGTTGTGATAGTCGGTGCATGAGTCACATATGAACACACAGGTGCAAAAGTAAACACATGCCCAGGGATACCTGGGCTCCCTGGACCTATTATTAACCCTGTGTTAAACTGGGCAAATACAGTGTTCCCTGCAAAGTTCTAACACCATCAAATAAAATGGCAGAAATAGAAATCATTTCACTCGGCTAGTCACCGAGACCACAGTTGCTCTGTCTTTTAATTTTCATCTGAAGTGGCGTGCAATATATCTCTAAGCATTGCAATGGATGTTGCCTTCAGAGTCAATTTTTCAGTTGCATATGTTTATGCCTCGGTTTAGCACGAATCACCATCCATAATATTCACAATATGCTCTATCCTTTGAACCTGTAGCACTTATCATTAGGTCAGTTCACATTGAACCAAACAGTAATCTTTGGGCAGGAGGATAGTAAGAAAATAGACTGTATTCTAAAATGTTTATACCACTTGATATTGCACCTTATCGCATCTAAAGGACCCGAAGAGCTCAGAATTACTTTGACGAGTATTGAATGTCGTTATGAAAGTTAAATTGGGAGTTGAGATGAGTGGAAAATTAATCTGATTTCGAACAATTACGATGAGGGATGAATATTGACAATGACAATCACCATAAACCATTTTTATACTATTTTATAAGATATCAATGTGAAATATTTATTAATTGCAATTTAAACGAAGAATAAGATAGTTATGTTAGATATTTCAAAATAAGTCCTCAAGCAACAACCCAAGTGAAATCATTTACACCTAAATATTTTTTTTGCCTCAAAAATCCAGCAAAAGTAAAACCACAAAAGATCATTTCCCACCCCCTCCAAAAGAGGAAACTGCCACTTGATGGAAACGGCGATCAGAAATAGGTCCACGAGATAGGAAAATGTCACTTGCCACTTTAAGTAGATATGCTGACTGAGAAATATAAACACTGAACTTAAGACATAAATAGTGTATCCTGAGAGTGGATCAAATGTATGAATATGCTTATGTTGGATATTTTATGCTGCCGATCCACCAGAGCCTATTAGAAACCTTGACATTTTAACCAAGGACAATATGGGAGATCAGATCTAAATACAGATTGCCATTTACATTTCCGTTCTGCAGTTCTGAATACTTTGGCAGGGTGGAGGCTGATTATATTTTATTCATAAATCGTATACTGTACATTATTCACACAATTCGCTTTTGCAAACTCAATAGTCTGGCAACGTGCCCAGAGTTATGCTTTTTGAAGACCAAAATGTGTATTTAGAACAAGTTAGATCCGTTTGAACAATAAATCAAAATATTACACCTTGTTAAAGTAATAATAGAATCCGGAAAAAGGGGAGACATGGAATTCAATAATGCATGTATTGTTATTGCTGGGCATCGTTAGGAATTTGATATATTCGAATACCCCCATTCAGAATTAACATTCAGTAATTATACCACAACATACACTATTTGAATATGTTATAAACGCTGGCAATAGCCAGAGATGCGGGGTAGAGCACATTTGGTAGAAACAATGAAGTGGCATTATTAGTCACTTTATTAAAATTAAAGCTGCAGTTTATTGTATATGAATAGCTCTACCATTTCCACTGTGAATACCAGCCCTACCAAAAGTAATCAATAACGCGAGTGGTGTGCGGGGTGTTGCAGGTGTTGGTGTAAATGTTTATTCGAGCACATACTTCTCTTGTAGGATGCCTCCGCCCCAGAACTAAACCCAGTGTAAGCCCAGTAGCAGCTCTCACAGTCAGATAGGGCAGTCACTCTTCCCTGTGTTTACAAACTTTGAATCTGGTGACCACCAAGTTTTCTCTTCCCTGGGGTGGGGGGAATGAACAAAAATGGAAACCAAAATATTAAACTGCATGACACCATAAAGTTATCCTTAACCATTGATCGCCAAATCCATTTTTGACCGTGTAAGCTTTAAATGTTATGAATATTATTGGCATTCAGCGACTTTGGGCTAGAATTCAATACCAGACCAAAATGGCACTGAAAAACTATATCGATTTCAAAACGGGAATTTATTTGATACATTTAATATTTCTTTTGCTTCTATCTTCCTTTAGCAATTACATCCGATGGGATGGCTTAGAAAACAACCGCAATTTGATTTTTTTTTTGCCTTTGTAGTTTATCATGTATCTGCACTATAAATTATTGATAAGATATTCTATAAGTAAGTGCATTGCTTTTCATCAAGCCATCGGTTAAACCAACTCCAATTCACTTCAGCATCTCCACTGTAGTGCTGTGACAAGGTAGAGCAATGTAACATGCCTTTAGCTGTGGTAGTTAAATCTAACGACGGTTCCAGGACCTGAGGACTCACATCGGGAAGTGTCAGACCTGAGCATTTGATCTGGCACGGTCATATAGAAGGTGTTATTTTCCACAAGGTGAACGCCTGCTGGATTTTAATTGTGTGGGGCATCGATCTCCGTGAAACTTTAAACCAAGTTTCATATGATCAGCAATAGAGCTGGAACTTGCAGCCTGGTCTGTCCAGAGAAGAGAAAGGACACTTTAATGGAAACGCACAAGGCGATAACTAGTTGTTAAGGAACAGAACAGAAAAACTGGGATGGCGATAACAGGCTGACCTGTATCATTCGGGTTGAACAAGATTATCTAGATTTCCTTTTGGAATCATTTACATTTAAATGAACACTAATACTCATTCTTATATTTGATATAGTTAACGCCTTTCACGTCAAAAGGACGTCGCAAAGCGCTTCACATGATTTTAGTGTCAGGTGTTGTGGGCAAATGATGGCATACATGCAACAAACAGCTCTGTTTATTAGTCGGTGACGCTCTTTTAATGCGTTAATTCTAATTATTTGAATGTAATGTGTTTAAGATATAATATGCCTTGAAAAGTACACACATTTGCAAACCTATTCAAATGACGTATTTCAAGTAATTAACACAATCACAAAACCTCCCATTTATATACAAAGACTATACTTGCGTTGCATGTGCTTTTTGTTGAATTAATAATGAATATAATTCGCAAAAAAATCTGTTCTCATCACTCTTTTAACAGTCAGTATTTCTGTCTAAAATACATGGCCGGGTTAGTGTTGTTGGAACACTCTTGTTCTGAGTATGTTAACAGCAGCAATGTTTGTTTTTTGATAATTATGATAACAAGTTTCTGAACCCACAATGCAAAGCAAACACATATCATATACTGCAAAGAGAAGCAATAACGTGTCCGAGATAAGAAAATGGGTTTTAATCTGTGCTGTTTCTAGTGGGATTTGGGTGCAAAATTATCAGCTCAAGAAGTAATGAAAGCGATTTGAGTGGCAGATCCTATCGTCTGCGCACAGAGGTTTGCTTTTAAAATAACACACTCAATTTAGAAAGTCAATTTCGCCAGGCTGAGCAATCGCCATCTAACCTTTAATGTTAAGTCAGAGAAGTGACTATTATTCTGAACTAAAGTTTAGCTTCATGATTCCTTGTTAAAAAAATATAGGTTATTGTATATCCAGCTCTGACTTGCCCAATGGCTTTGCCACAGACCACACAAACCATTTTCAATTCAAATAACAATTCTTGTTTGTAAATAATACTTTGTTATTACAATGTCGATTTCGGTTCAAGTTCGTTAGCATCTCTCAACGTGCTGTGCTTGAATCCGCAGCCAAAACGGAAAACTTGGAACATATATATCAGTTGCAATGCAAAACTTTTCGTGAGTAACACAAGTGCCATTTCAACCTATGCACCAAGTAATCACTCCACAGAGTAAGGTTTATGCCGCAGGCTATGAGATCATCTGAAATTGCTGTCGCAACGTTCACGATGTAAAATAGGAAATGTGGGTTAAAACATAAAGCTGTGTAAGTTGTGTTGCAGCACAGTGACCCTTTAAAATTGCTACCAATGAACAGAAATACTAACTACCTTTCAATTTTTAACATTTCCCTATTTACAAGCCATGTACTAATCATTCACCTTATATGCAAATTGTCCGAATACAATCCTGAAACTTAATTTACATGCTGAGATTCGTGTCAACGTTAAGATTCCCCTCTGCCCCCACTAGGCAAAGACCGCATCTGCTCCATATGATGTTGTTCAGTTCTTTGTTGTGCACGAAGATCCCACTTTTTTTAAAAAAAAGCAGAAATATGACTTTTTAAACTGTATGTGTTGCATATTTCATTTTAGTGCAAAGTATAGTATGACACGTTTCGAGCCCAGAACTGCAAAGTTGCCTCAGAACACGCGCCCCTCTCGGTGTGAACATTTCAGTATTCACGTCTCTGTGACAAATGTAAATAACTTGGCTGAGAGAGGTACATAGATGGCCAGTCCAGCGCACATTGCGCCATCTGCTTGCTCATGCTTAAGCTTCAAAGGGGGGAGTGAGGCAGACCTTCCCCTTGTGGAGGTCTCAGAGAAGCAGTGCACTTTGATCTCTCTTGGAAGTCGATGGCTACAGCAAAGGCCAATGTCTTATTCAGCTGTGTTTCTGTTGGTCCCAAACAAACTATTACTGCGCTAGTGGTAAGCATACATGTCATTTGTAGGACATAAGAAAGATCCCCAAACAAAAAGAAGCAAACGTTTTGGCAGATGTACTCATACAACTTCAAGTCAGGTTACCTAAGCAGTCTTGGGTTAACAGAGTGCAATATATTACATTACATCCATATATTATTCTCTACACCCAACTGAGCGACTCCGTGTATCTTTCAAAATATTTCAGACCGATTGTGTAACAGCTAAAAGACGATGGGTCAAATCATCCTGCAGCGGAAACCACTAATTCATAAACCACATATTGCTGAACACAATCTCTGACATTTACATTTGTAAAAGACCATATGGACCATATTCACAGTGCAGGACCTTCCCACCAATTCAACATGGAGCATATTTAAGATGAAGGGTTTCAAAAAGCAATCCAAATTAGCTCCTCTTTATGTAACCCACAAGCAAGAAACCCCATGTGGTTTATGTTGGGGTTTATGCAGTGCAACTTACGAAATACAATTGTAAAACTTAATAGCCGGCAAAGAGTGGTAAATTAATTCTCGGCGCGCATATTTTGACTTCAGTAAAGCAAGAGGTTATTTGGATTTTCTGTTAGTTTGAAGCTTTGATCTTCCCGGCTAACAGGAATTGAAGACTTTTTTTTGTGCCGGGATCTGTGGTTGTACTGTCAGCACCTCAATTCCCAACTCAGGAAAAAAAAACAAGAATTCATTTCCTCGCCATCCTTTAGTCTTGTACCTCGTGTTTGCACTCTTGCTGTTCTGTTGTAATGGCTTGCTTGGTTTCGGAAATTGTTTAGGTATCTCCTTTCCGAAAACATACTTGAGTATCTGCAGCAAAGTGATGTTTCCTTTAAAAGGACAGTCGCACGTCCCAGAGGGGATCTTAAAACGCAATGTCCAAGGTTACACCTCAAGCTGCTTTTATCCCCAATACTTTAATCATTTTCAGTTTCAGACTACGGTTTATTTTTAAAGAAATACATTTGTATATAGGGTCGAAACGCCCATTTTGAGTTTATGCAGATTGATCATTTTCTTTGACTTGATCAATTACACTTGAGTTGTGACTTTGTGGTTTGGAAATGTGACCCCTTATATGATAGCGCAGCACTATTCCCACATGGAATCACAACGTCCAAAGAGAGTTTGTTTTCATAATAAAGTGCTTAAGGTTAGATAAGAGAGCAGGAAAATAAAGTAAGAACATCGCACGGAAGATTATACAAACAAATGGGCATTATTACACGCTAGTAGAAACCTATCTCTCTTTATACACATCTCCGTCTCACTTGGGCCGTATAGACAGACACCCACTGATAGACTTCATTACCATTTTTTAATGATCACTTGACGCGTTTGTTGACCCGTTGGAAAGTTGGAGGAGCTTTCGCCACCGAGGTTTGTGAGTGAGTTGGTGAGACTCTTGTGGTTTAGGAAAATTTTACTCTCCTACGATCTGCTGGCGAGGCAGCTGGGACGCATATGTAACGGTGCAAATTGCTTCAAGCATAACATTAACAAACCACGAAGTGCAGTAAAATGTTATAGAGTCTGTGTAGTCTGAGAAGCGGCGTGTCAGGACTTTCGACAAGTTTGCAAACGACACTGTACACCCCGGCTAAAAATAGGAGAATATTTCAAATATCCTCACTTAAAACGGTAGCCTTTGCCAGCAATCTTACCTGACATTGGTTCATTCATTTGATAAATTAGGGTCATGCAGCGTTTTGTAAGGGCACGTGAAAAAAAAAACAATCTCCACTCTTTAACACTCACCTATCTCGGTGTCTTTGTTCGACTAACATAAGAGTTTACAAAGAAGCGTTGTATTGAGAGACCAAACACAGATTTTATTTTATTACAGTGATACTGTATCTGATGGTCTAATAAAAAATGGTGTAAGTGCAACGGAAAATGAGAACGTGACTCGCCGCACAGTTGCTAAATGGGTGCACTATATGGCCCAGACTGTAGTTAGTTATTCGATACCTTCATTAACAGTAACTACGTGTGGTATGTAGACCCAACTAACGTGCCACACAAACTGTACACCATCCACACGTACGTAGAAACGTCAGCGCCATTTGGTCTCCAACCTCTTTGAACTTGAGAAAGAAAGGAAGGTGGACAAACCTGAGTTACAATCTTTAGCAAAGAAATCTACTGAACCGCCATTCTTTTGGATGCTGCCGCGTTGCTTCGGTCTGGTTGAAGGACATTTAACTTACAATCTCTCAACTAGTGTTGGGAGCCAACAGATCCGTGGGTGGTTTGACTATGGGCTAACCTTTACATAACGGTACATAACTTCGCACCAAATGCAGTACAGTGTTCGTGGAGCTTTGGTCAAAGAGCATTATTTGCAGTTTTATAATTTCAACATTGACCAAAGCTGCCACATTCTTATGATTGATCCAACGTCTGATCTCTTGCAGAGCTCGGGGGTCAGAGGTGGTCCTGTTGAAAATCGTTCTGTGAAAAACTCTCGTATTTCTTACTTGTGCGATTTCCTACCATTTGCCTGTCTGCCTTTGTGGGAGGAGATTTGCTCGACCCGACAGCTCCTCACAGGGGTTAATGAGATACGCATAGGGACGGATTCAGGGTTAATGAGGTAAGGGGAAGGAGGATGCTAACTGATGTGACCAGCCTCACCACGTGTATATAAAGAGCTCTCTGAAGAGTGGGCTGAAGGCATTTTATTTCAAACCCCTAACTGATGTAACCCAAGTTCGACTTCCAATTCCGTTGCATAGTATAAGTCAGAGAACGGTGGTTAGAGTGAGCATTTTTGCGAGCGAGTTTTTTTCTTTCCTGCCCCAGTAACATCAGGAATGGATATCATGGATGACTGTCACTTTTCTCCATCCGATCTATTTTATGATAACTCCTGCCTTTCCTCGCCCGAGGAGGCAGACTTTGCAGATGATTTCGATCATAGGATGGCTGTGTTCGGGGATCACAAGGCACAGTCCCGTGGAACCGATGAGGAGGAACACATTCGAGCCCCCAGTGACCATCACCAGCCTGGCCATTGCCTGCTCTGGGCTTGCAAAGCTTGCAAACGCAAAAGCTCCACGACGGATAGGAGAAAGGCGGCCACCATGAGGGAGAGGAGAAGGCTCAAGAAGGTCAACCAGGCTTTCGAGACTCTAAAGAGGTGCACCAGCTCCAACCCCAACCAGAGGCTGCCTAAGGTGGAGATCCTGAGAAACGCCATCAGCTACATTGAGAATCTCCAAGATGTGCTCAGGGAACAGGTAGCGAGTTATTACAGACACCCGGACAACACCAGCTCCGAGCCAGCGAGCCCCACGTCTAACTGTTCGGACGGAATGGTAAACTCTATTTACAAAATATACAGTCAATTAACTTTGCAGTGTAATCCGTGAAGCGCTTTGAGACGTCTGGAAGACGCGATAAGGCGCCATATCAAATGCAAGGGTTATTATTATTATTATAACTCTAGTCAGTCGTCCACTGCATTCATTGCATGATGTTTTTCCAATGGTTGCAAAATGAGAACCAGCATTTTTAGTATAAATTCTCCATATTCGTTAGGATAATGTGTACAGTAGTTAATATCAAAGATTTTACTGTATTTCGGCCAATCGAAATACGCCTTTTGCACTATTTCTGTAGTTAAGCGAGTTTCCTGTGGTTCTCATTGACACGAATCGAGATGAGAGTGTTGTTAAACGAAATTCAGAACCATCTGCATATTTGATATGCAGCGAACCTTAATGTATTCGTGCAACCTTCCTGTGCTGAATGATAGCCAACCTGTCCTCTCGGTTCTCCAGTAACAATTACAAATTTGTCCAGCCTGCTCTGTTGTGTTAGTAAAACTGTAAATATTTTTCTAGACAATTATATCCATCATTCCTGTAGACAAGACAGTGTATGCGCTATCAAACGAAAATACACACGCACTGTATTGGGTTTTTTTTTGCAATCGTCCCTCTCACTCGACGTTGTTCAGTGCAAATAAAGAAGACAGAATGATTTGCTTCACCATTCATATTTTGTTAGTAAATGATCTGGCATGATAGCAGCTCAGTGCTTTTTCTAAACGAAATCGATCTAAGAAGTCGATGAAACAGTAGACTCCAAGAAAGATTCCGGCCAAATGCACCGTGCATTCAAATTTCATAGAGTGTGAGATATCTGCGAATATATTTCAAGGAAACCCTTGGATCAAGGATCAAATATTTGCTTTGCTTTCCCGTGTTTGCTGCCAAGCCCAAGCTTACATATAGAAAGTGCAATCGTCAAGACTCCCTTAAGAATGATTTTATGCGAAGCTTTTAGCAACGTCTGAATTATTTAGCAATAATGTACAGCGCTTGTTTCAGCCGCCTCCCCATACAGGTGGTTGACGATTTTTTTAAATGTGTATTTTACTGCAGGAAGCAACACATGGGGAGAACCGTAAAACACAAGAGTAAAACTCTACACAAACCACTGAGAAGCATTCAACTCGTAATCCTTGCGCTTTCAATTCTGTAAATTATATATTATTGGGGGGGGGGGGGGAATCCAGGGGGCGATGGTCAAATTAAACATCTTCATCTGCATTTTGTGTAAGATTAGGTGAAGTGCTCTGTGTAGCACAGGATCCGATTTAGACTGCGCTGTCTGTCTCACATTATGTGTGACCGAGCATTTTTCCTCACGCCCCCCCCCCCCCCCCCCCTCCCTCGCCACTTCTGTAACACGTTGCTGCCACACACATTGCGCCCCTTGGTCCCAGGGAATGATTAGTTTCCCACCTCTGCACATATTGCTATCCACAGGAACCAAAATAAACCGCATCAAGCTGAGGGGCTGTGTTGTTTTAAAGAAAAATAAACAGCGAGTGAACCATTCTTTTATGACCACATTTGTGCCATGCGAGGCAGGCAGGTTGCCTTGTTGTACGGATCTAGTATGGGAAAAAAAAATGATCTGGCAGAATTAATGTTGTTTCCGTTAACTGCAGCACTTCAATCCATTTTCCATGGATAACACAGCCCACATTTCTGTATACAGACCACTCCATACTTCATGGGAGAAAATCGTGGTGTGGCAAAGGCACCAACTATGTCTAATCAACAGATGGTCTTATTTCCTTCCTAAGGCAATCGTTGTTCCACTGCATAAGTCCACTCAGCGTGGCAGAAAGTGTAATGCAATACAACGAATTAATCTGAGGTCTGCTTTATAATGTGCAGAATTTGCTTCGTTTTGATCGTCCTGTGTTTGTGTTTTGCAGATGGAGTGTAACAGCCCCGTCTGGTCCAGAAGGGGCAACAGTTTTGACAGTATTTACTGCTCGGAATTACAGAACGGTGGGTTTCACTCTCCCCATAAACCCATCCCACACTTTATCATAAACCTGACTGTCGAAATTCACGTCGCCTCTGTAGACTCATCGTGTGAAAATGCTCGTCCGAAGCTAATAAGTGAGAAGTCTGATCTGAGATTTATTCACGGAATTGTAGTCTGGGTTTGACCGTGAAATTTGTTTTCATTTTAAAACAGTGACTATGAATCCGGATTCATTTAGGGACTATTATGCAGCGCTTGCCCCCGCATATACACTACTTGTAGAATAAATCAGCTCAATGGGTTATTCCCCTTTCATTTATTTCCTCATCAAAGTGCGAGATCTCGTTTCGTTAAGATATCTGGACGAAACAAGATAATCGTTCAATAACACAATATTTTGGGATAACGGTTGATTTCACACAATATTTAGTGACTTAAATACATTTGGGGAAAATGCTAAAGGACACATTTATCACTGGCTTCAGTTAGATCTTTCATTAGAGTTCTGGATACACTGGTATGTACTGCAAATTATTCAAGCTATTTTTATGACTCTAGTTTTTCAATAGCTCTTGCTCTCTCTATGTGTAAAAATTATAATATAAATGTACGTATCATTCTTTCTTTCAGTTTGCCCCAGTAACCGGGGTCTTGGAGTTTCTAGTCTGGATTACTTGTCCAATATAGTGGAGCGCATCTCGCCCTCTGTGGAGTGCCGCACCCTACCATGTCCAGATGCAAGAATAATGTCCCCATCCATCAGTGACTCTTCTCAACCCACCACCCCCGCTCCAAACCAACCTGTCTACCACGTCCTCTGAATCTTCAGCCAGCCAGGACTCCCCAACCAACGATTCCCACCCACCCCAAGATACCACAGCCAACCATGTGACTGCAAAGCTTCAAAACATAGCCTGTTTTCTTAAGTAGGACCACATTTTTATTGTATATTTGTAAATAGCATAATATTCAGTAGCCCTCATCCAAAATGAATTGTATTTAATTGAATAAAATCATGCTAGACTTTTATAAATTATGTCGCCTTCGCTTTTATTTTCATCAGTTCGACTCTGGAGAGCAATAAGCCCTGATTTAGAAATAATTGCAGTTGAGGTGACCACACGTTTGTGTGTGTGTGTGTGTGTGTGTGGGGGGGGGGGGGGGGTGTAGTACGTTTTTGTCTTTGTAGACTTTAAGAATGGAAACACAACAGTCCACGCCCAGTCACTGAAGTCCTAATATGATTAAATCAAGCATTTCTCTGTTTTGCCTAAGTACAAATTGTTGCCAGGTCCTACTACACTCAAAGCAAATCCTAATTGATACTTCCCGAAATACATTTGCTTGTTTACTTGCAAAAAAAATCAGTTACTGCACTCCTGAATCATTTTGTGATATTATTATGTGAAAGGTACTAAATAACTGAAATATCTTCTAATTGGGGCATAGCTACACTAATGACGATGTGTTACTAGAACTACTGTATTTGAACTTTGATCACAAGATCAGAAGATTGGATCAGATAAAAAGAAGGATTTTCATCCATTTGATCTCATGCTTGAGGAATACACACAGTAACATTTTCCCATCACAGGTGTTTTTTCAAATGGGTCCAGTGACCTGGCATGTACCACTTTTCCTGGTAACCAGCTCCAGTTATGAATTACCATCTGGGTAAAGAAATACTTCCCAGTGCGGTCCTAAAATTGTCCTTTGTACTCTAATCTGTTGTCCTCTTGTATTTAAGCCCAGGTTCTGTATGGATGCAAAAAAACAATGCAATACAAATTTCCATTTTGCATTTTGGGAAGGTGTCCTAAGGTACTTACTGGCTTCGAACCTGAGCTGAGGTTGGATGCTGAGGGAATGGGGAGGAGAAAGATGACCGAAAGTGCAGTTAAAGACCTTGAGATGGGCCTTAAACATTAGTTTTGGATAGTAAACTTCTTCCACAGTCACACAAAACCTATCCTAATTGACCTGATCTGATGGGTCACCTTCGAGTTTATCACTGATTTATTTTCTATTGACAACAAGTATTGCAAATGCAAATCACTTCTTAATAATTTTAAAGTCGAAAGAAAACCTGTATTGCCATTTGTTTTCAAAATATATTTGGGAAAAGCTAAAAGACACATTTATTACTAACTTCAGTCGGATCCTCCTGGCAGAAAGCAGCCAGATGAGAGCCAACTTGTTGGTGGTGATATGATGTATTTCAATGTTGACAAAATGGGACTTGCAGTGCACTATTAATATTGGATACTTTGGCATCGAGACATTGGAAATCCCAGTATCACATCACTACCAAATAAATATACACTAAATGGAAAGTATTAAAGCAATATAAATTAATATTGATCAAAAGCAATACACATCAAAATCAACTCAAACAAAACACATTATAATCTACGCAAAGCATTATCACATATAATTGTCTAATGACTTCAATAGGAAGTGAACAGAGAGTGATTTCTTCATAAGCCAAAGAATATGAAGGGTAACAACATAATTTTAAAATTAGTTTAACCAGTTACAAATATACAAAAAAAATTCACACAAATGTGAAATATGAAAATGTGGAATCTGTAGCCATAGAAGGAACATAGATATAGGATATTTAAAAGGAACACAGCTAAATACAGAGTTAGGAAGCAAAGATAATAAGGGACAGGTAGAAAAGGCAGGAAATGGGATTAAAATATGTGTCACGGTCTGATAAAAAAACCAGGATGACATATTTATATAGTCGGTGGAGTAAAATTATATATTTCTTCCATAGGAAATCTTCCATATTATTATTATTATTATTATTCCATATTATTATTCATCTATCCCAACACATTATAATTGGTTTGCACTGTGCCGCCCTTCACTGTAAATAGAAGAATCAAATAAGCAATATAATGTGCAGTTTAGATATAGGGTATCAAAAACTGGTTCTAATGAGGGAACCATTAGCCATTGATTTCTGTCTTATCAGCACTGATCATAAGGCTTTCTTTAAAACAACTCAGGAATTCATGTAATATTGTCTCACTGACACAAAGTATTCAACGCTGAGACAAAAACAGCAAACATGGCTTTTTAATGAGAGAAAAGCCATGCAAACTGACACCAGCATAGACATAATGGAACTCTGCTGAAAATATTCTCTGATTTCTCATCCTTTAATTGGAATAACAGAACTTCCAAGCCTCTAGAGGAGCATTTTCCTTTTGAACCCATCTTATAAGGTTGCACTTATGTAATTGTGCATATGCTATTATTATTTTTGTAATAAAAAATGTTCAATGGTGAAAGATGTTTTTGATAAAGATAAACCAAGAAGTCCAACACCTGCCTAATATGAATTTGTTGGTTACATGGATTGAATACATAACCTGCAAGATCATCAGTGTAACAGTCCCTTGAGAAAGCAAGACATATTCACCAACCACTTTCCTATCCTGTCATTTTGATTTCTGTGAATCCTTGGAATATCATCAATGGATCTCTTATTTAGAAGAATGTCAAAAATGTCACTTCTAGCAATTTAAATGGGGAATCGATTTATATAAGTACTACTTTTTCAAAGCACATATAAAAAGACGGTTTATTATGTATAATGTTTCAGTTTGCTCCAGCAAGTTATTTTGAGCCTACGTGCTACTTCGCAGAGGATGCTGTTGTGGGAGAACTACTAGCTTCACCAGAGTGTATTTTATAACTGCAAGATTGTCAGTAGAGTCAGATGTCAACCTACACTGGCTAGCTAATAAAGCAAAAATAGCAATGTAATATGTTGCTGTGGATACAAGCAGCAATCAGCCACCTCAGCATCCAAAATGAGCAAGAAAAGCAAATAAAAGAGATAGGCTGTGTAAGGAAAGCAAGAATTGTGGAAAACCAGTTTCTAAATTAAGACCGAACTCAGCAATTATCCAAAATGCCGAATGACCTTAAATTTTAAGACAAATTTTAATGGCAAGCCATGAGAAATATTGGGCCTCAGATTGTTTTTGTAGTAAAATGATTGTCATAACCTTTGATTGAGAATCTTTCGTGTTGGAAGGATGTCTCAAAGCATTTGACAGGAATAGTAAAGTGTGTATTTTGTGAGCTTGGTACCGGGTATCACTTATCATTTGTTGTTCACTAATATGGCAACAAAGTTTACTTCTAGGACAGAATCAATAGACATAATTGATGGAATTTCTGTTAGAGCAGGAACTAAAGTCCATCACATATTTATACAATACACAAATCATCCGAAACAGAAAGAGAGAAGAGAAATGAAAGCCGCTCACTCAGTATTCAGCTATGGAATTAATCTGTTTTTCTCTATTCTAAACATAAAAGTGATCTTTTAATTCTGAGAAAGAATTCTACTAATTCCACCAGGGTATAGTTTCTCATAGATATCAAAACACATAAATGCCTCATTTGAACAGATGGTAAACTGGTGCATTGCTTCTGGTAAGGGTGATGATAATTGGACTGAACACTGATATTTCCACTGGCAGAGACTTTTAAGTAAGACTAGTCAGTTAGGATAAAGCTAATCCACAAAACGATATTATGGGAGACAATTAGTTACAGTTACGATAGAATTCTGATGAAAGTAAAAGAAGTAAATGCCAGAAATGTTAATGAACATTTGAAATGCAAAGTTAGAAAAATTAACAACTAAACCATGTGAGGATAAAATGCCTTTGTTCTGCATTCTGATCACAACATCTAGTCCTACTACTCAGCCTGTCAAAATGAGATGCTTTAAGGAAATAATTTGCTTGCCCATCTGTAACAATTCTGATCTTGAAATAAGGCTCAAGGCTAAACAAAAAGCAAAATACTGCAGATGCTGGAAATCTGAAATAAAAACAGAAGTTGCTGGAAACACGCAGCAGGTCAGGCAGCATCTATGGAGAGAGGAAAATGAGTTCATGTTTCAGGTCTATGACCTTTCGTCAGAACTGGGGGATGTTGGAAGGACAAGCAGAGTAGGGGACTAGGAAAGAAAGACAAAGGAAACATTTAGGTGGAGGACAGAAGATGACGAGATCAGTGGTGTTGAGGTCAAAGGCTCAAGGTTAGATTGAATCTAGTGAATAATAAAGGCCTACAAGTCCATTCACGGCCTTGCTCCCTCCTACCTCTCCAACCTACTATCCCCCTACCTACCTGCCCATACCCTCCGTTCCTCCGGCTCCGGTCTGCTCCACGTCCCCCACCCCAATCGCCCTACCATTGGTGGTCGGGCCTTCAGCCTCTCAGCCCCGAGGCTCTGGAACTCTATCCCCCAGTGCCTTCGCCTTGCTTCCTCCCTTTCCTCCTTCAAGGCCGGTCTCAAAACCTTTCTCTTTGACCGAGCCTTCAGCTCCCCTCTCGACTCTCTTCCGCCTTCTCGCTCCCTCCCATCCCTCCCCTCACCCTGACCATTTCCCCCTTCCTCGCTCCCTCCCCTCCCCTCACCCTGAGCATTTCCCCCCTGCTCGGGTCGTGACCCAACTGTGCAGCTCCTTGGGACGTCCTCCTGACGTGAAAGGCGCTTTATAAATGGAATCTTGTTGTTGTTGTTGTTGTAATAAAGATAGGTATATTTTACATATTACACAAGTATATATAGGCCTTTGCTTCATCATAAATATTAGTGAAACAGTACAGTATAAAGAATGACAGAGATTTCCTTCTTTTTTTAATCTTCATTGCACTGTGGTGGTAAATGTCAACCATAAATGTCCACAGAGTGCCAGCAACAAAGCTTTTCCCACTACTCCTTTTGCCTTCCGGAATTCACTCCCAGATAGCACTGTTACCCGAAACTCTGTCACTCTTTGGATTTTAAAGTTAAAAAACTGAGCGAACAATCATTTGCTGAATCAAGATACACACTACGCTATTGGGAATCATTTGGGGATTAGGGAACAAAGCAGTATCCTTTCGGGTAATGAGACATGATAATAAGCTTCAAAGATGCTAATGTCAATACATGTGCAGCTGACAGGGGCACCAAGGTCAATTGTAGCACCTCCACCGCTGTTCTGGCTGAGG